ATACCTACATGTTTCTCAGTCCATCCCTCCAGCCCTCTATGTGTGTCAATCAATTTCCCCCAGGCCCCATGTGCCTTATTATCTCCCTCAGTTCCTCCATAGGTCCCTACAGCCCCTCCCAGCCCTCCATGCATTCCTATACCCCATGCCAGCCCTCCATGCGTTCCTATACCCCCTCCCAGCCCTCCATGCGTTCCTATACCCCCTCCCAGCCCTCCATGTGTCCCTATACTCCTTCCCAGCCCTTCATGTGTCCCTATCCCCTCTCCCAGTCCTTCATATGTCCCTATAGCCACCCCAGCCCCCATGTATGCCATTAGTTCCCCCCATGTGTCCCATTAGTTCCCCCCCAGCTACCATGTGTCATATTAGTCCCCCCCCACATGTCCCATTAGTTCCCCCCAGCACCCATGTGTGTCCCATTAGTTCCCCCCCAGCTACCATGTGTCATATTAGTCCCCCCCCAACACGTTTGAACTAGCATAACATGATCCTCCATGTCTTCTAATTACCAGATTTTACTACTAACACAGTCATGATTTTACTAAAGACACAGAGGCAAGTATTAGCCCATCCTGATTTTATGTTATTCTGCCCACCACCCCTCCCCATTATTATTACACCTTGTTTTACAGTAAGTTCATACTTGTACATGTTCCTCCTAAGTGATTGTGAAATAGCTTTGCTAAACTTATGGTTACTTTAGAAGTTTCAAATATTTTAGCTCATTGATGCTTATGATTAATAGGATTTGTGGTCTTATTTCCACAGCTCTGTTCCAATTTGACCACATATCTGTCCTCTTGTTTCAGCTTGAGGTCCTGTTTCTGATACGCATAGCTCGTTTTCTCCTGCTGAGTGATTGACTTGGATCTCCATATTTATATTGTTGGACTTCATTCTCTGTCTTCACTGGAGATTATTATCGATATTATTTTGCATATTTTTTTTAATTTTTTTTTGTGATGTTCTTTGCCTTCGGTGATATTATGGTTAACCCTTACTAGAGTCATTGTTTTTTTTATGTTTGTTTCTTATGAATTATTATTATAATATACAATTCTTTCTTTGCTGGTGAGGAAACAAAAGAAAGAGGTGAGCATAATATTCGCCTCTGAGTCTTTAATAAAATCATGACTTTACGTCACGTTAATAGTAAAATCTGGTAATTTACAAAGTGAAAAAACAAGGATTATTTCTGCTTGACTATTACTACCAGCAGGAGGTATTGCTGTCTTTAAATTAATAGTTGAAGAGGCGTAAAATCTTTTCAATAAAAATTGTTTTGTATCAGATGTCGACGCTTCTAATAGCCCAGCATTTAATATGAAACTTAATTAGCTAGATTCATGCAGTGAAAGACGACACTAGCACTAATATGGATTCCGATGAGGTGAATGGTGACATCAGCTGGAAGCCTGCCCATCTACACTGCGCATTTTATAAAAAGTTACAATTTTGTTTTCTCATTTATGTATCATTGTATGTAAGAAGCAAACTTGAAAATGGCTGTAATATTTAATTTAAAGCTCACTCTTTGTAAGACTCTCAACACGGTGCATGGTGTTTCTTGACCCTGATTCAGAAGTCTCGCGATGCACTGTTTGTTAGCCATCTTGTCTCTCTTTTGTGCATCCATTCATATCAGTTGTTGGGACGCCATTGTGCCCTGTAAGAGTTAACGGTCTGCCTGGAGAATCATAAAATCTATAATGCGTTGGGAGAACAGAACAGACTGTGACCTAGATTAGCCAACCCTACATCCAAGCACCCCTGAATGCTTTCATCTAAGTGTAATCATCTTGCGGTCTGTGCACATGGAGTGTAATTTAACTTGGTGTCTGAAACATGACCTACTTCTCTTTAATAAAAAAGCAAACCATGAGGTATTCCTTACTAGCTCAGTGCAGCATGTAAATTTTATAGGGTAATTATTCATCATTATCCAGCTGTAGTCAGATCGGGTTGTTCTGCCAGGGATTTCACACATCTCTTAGTCGAGCACAGCCTGCGGAACCGTGGATAGCCTACGGAACCTGGCCATGGATAGCCTACGGAACCTGGCCGTGGATAGCCTACGGAACCTGGCCGTGGATAGCCTACGGAACCTGGCTGTGGATAGCCTACGGAACCTGGCCGTGGTTAGCCTCACCATGACATTAACAAAGTTAGTTTGAAATAAATGTTTCAGGTGACTTATGGGTAATTATGGGTTTAGTATAACAAAGATGGTGGATAAAATGCCAGCTACACACTCCAGAATTGCCTGACTGCCTGTTAGATCCTTAAAGGGACAGTATAGTTCCCAAATTAACTTTAGCTAAATTAAGTAATTTTGGTGCATAGAGCATGCCCCTGCAATCTCACTGCTGTTTTATCTGCCACTTATTGAGTTAAATCACTTTGTTTATGCACAACTTTCTGCATGTGACTCACACGGCTTTCATAAACTTTTCCTGTAAAGCAGTGCTCGAGTCCTGCAGGAACGCGTGGGAACGGGTTCTTGCACTTTTTTTCACAGCAGGAATGCTGTTCCCATTAGTAGTCTTGCAGGCAGGGCCCCCGTTATCATAATGCGGCCCAGGTGGCCGCCTTAGGGCGCACCGGCCCTGGGGGTGCGATCTGCGTGTGATCGGCAGGAGAAGAGCGCCCTTCACAGGGCTCCCCTCCTGCAAGTCACTGCATGTAGCATGGCCGAGCGGGTGGACCGCGACCTACCCAGTTTGACAAGAAATACAACAAACTACTTCCTGTCAGACCAGGACAGGAAACTGGATCCTCCGTGGACTGCCGGCTCAGCCTCATGAATGGAGGTGCGGTGGACACAAAGAACGATGGGGGGAGGTGGGACAATAGCTAATACAGGAGGGGGGACAATAATAAGTATGTGAAGGGGACAATATTAAGTAGATAAGCAGGGGGGGGCAATAAAAATTACAGGAGGGTAGGGGGAACAATAATAGGTACGGGAGGGGGACCATAATAGGTACAGGAGGGGGGGGGACAATAAGTAAATAAGCGGAGGGGGGCAATAAAAGTTACAGGAGGGGAGGGGGGAGAATAATAGGTACAATAGTTATTATTATTATTATTTTTTTTATACACTATTTGTTTTAGAAATTCCCTGCGAGGGGAAGATCATCACACATGGTGGTGATTGTTCTCTTAGTATGACAAACAAGTTAACTTATGTTGTTGTTACAACTGTTCTGTATTTATTCGTTTATTGCATAGTTAACCTATTTTGTTACAACTGTTCTATATTTATTTGTTTATTGCATAGTGAATTTTGGAGATGTCTTTGTAAACTGGCACTTTACAATAAATGTTGCACTGTATTTTCTAAGAAATATATATGCATACAAGTGTATTATTTTTTGGGGGGGGGTGGGAATCTTGGGTGAGCTCCCACACTTTTTTCCCCAGGACTTTTCCCCGATTGGGGAACTGCAGTCAGACCTGAGTGATCTTATATCCCATTAAAATCATTTTCTTTATATTACAGTATGAAAATTCTCCCTCGAGGGGAAAGTTGTATGCGAATCACAATGGAAATAAATATGGGAAATAAAATGCTGACCCCCTCCAGGGGAACACAAATATGAAAAAATGACTTTCTTAGAGATAATGTGGAAAAATGTTTTTTAATATTCTGGTTGCTATTGCGCAATTTATCAAACTGGAGAAAAATCCATGTTCCTTTAATCTACGTTTTATTGGCTGGTTGGAAGAAGCAACACAAATTGCGTATGAGAATATTCCCTCATTGAAGGACGTCTTTTTTTATTTATTTTTATTTTTTTACAGAAAACTGTATCATGTTGTTTTCAGAGTATTGCTGCATTGTGAAGCATATGCTTTCATACTGTTTATTAAATAAAGATGGTCCGTGTACGAGCTTACATAGATGCAATTATCTGTAACAGATTAATTTACATTCCCCACGTCAATGTAAGCGTTACTACCGTATGTTCTGTTTGGAAGACGAGCTGCAAATCTGTTTGCTATTTCTTTATTTCTCTCTTTTTTTTTTTTTATAGATTACAAACACCACGGAAAATACACTTTGGCTCAAATGTGTTGAAAACATAAAGAATGTATTCACTCGCATCGTTATTCACTTCAATCCAAATTTTAGCGAATTAAATATCCGAATGGCGGAATCAATGGTAAAGTAGCCAATCCATGACAATAGCTCGGCTGGAGAATTTTTCCGATTGAGCCATTTGGAGTTTAATCAATAAACCTCTTATCTGGAAATTGAGGAAAATTGACAAGAGCGTTGTGCACTCTAGACAAAAAATAAATAATTATAATTAAACTGTAAAAATTCCCAAAGCTGGCTATTTCCCAGCTCTGCTATTTGGTTTAATTTTTGCAATGTCCCTGTCAAGTGTTTGCAAGTTCTGGTTTAGGGGATACATTTTACAAGTGTGTAACTGCACATTTATTGTAAGGATCTGATCTGTGAGGAATTTATGTTCTTTACTGTTAATTAATTAGCTGTAAATCCTAGTGACCAGACCACTTAATTACAATAATATTCTTTATATATACTGATTTTTTTCACCTGTACATTGTGTTTGAGAGGTTACTAGCTTAAATTCCATTTAGCAACTATAATTCTGCTAATATGTAGTTGGGCATATTTGAACTTTGCAGTTTATGACATCGCTTTCACAGCTTATGACATCACAAGTGACACAAAGGATGCTGGGACAGTACTGGGCAGGAAAAGCCATTTGTAGCTGGATAGGTACTGAAGAAGGTTGCAAACTAAGCACACTTTATTTAAATCAATTGTTTACAGATTATTACATGATTTTATGAAGGTGTTACTGGGGTAAGTCTACTTATATGGCTGGTAAAGTGATTGTGTGATATAATGTTTGCCGTGTCTGAAGGGATGTGGCTGTGTGGAGCCTGCAAAGTATGTCCAAAATCGGCGAACACAATGGTTTGGTAGAAAGGACTGCGTGGGATTATAATATCAAAATATACGCACTCAATAATGAAATACTTGTACAATTGACATGTATAAGATCTCATATTGTCGGACAGGAGTGACGCATATTGTGACATTAAATAATCTTTGTGCCACCTGCTCTTTGGGCAGGGAGAGGAAAATTTCTAAAGAGTTGTCCTGTGATCACGAAACACATTTAAACACCTGAAGATTTGTTTTTTTAATACTGACCACTGCAGTCCAGAATTATCTTTCTTTTTCATTAAATGGTGTTCCGTTCTAAAACAATTTATAATATTCTTTCTATTTTCTATCTCTTCATTACGCCATAGCAATCATCCAATTGTATACGTTAGTCCTTCTCCAATTGTCGTCTATTTGCAATGCACACAGTGATATAATATTTACACTGCCAGGAGTGCTTAGACTCTTAATTTAATTTGCCCGCATTATATACTGTTAGACTCTCCTTGTGTGTGACCGTCATTACTCTCCTGATTTAAAATATACACTTATTAGACTACTTGATTTAATATCTCTGCAAAGTGCAGCCATTAAGACTCTTTGAACATAGTCATCAGGTTACGCAGATTTTATATTTAAGTGACTTGCATTTCTTAGGCCCCTGAGTTTATATTCACACAATGTGTGGTTGTTAGACCCCCTGACTTCACATATACGCAATAGGCAGTCATTAGATCCCTGACTTTACATTTACGTAATAGGCAGTCATTAGACCCCCTGACTTCACATATGCGCAATATTATTATTATTGCCATTTATATAGTGCCAACAGATTCCGCAGCGCTTATACACGGTCATTAAACCCCCTGACTTTACAATGACGTAATAGGCAGTCATTAGACCCCCTGACTTTACATTTACGTAATAGGCAGTCATTAGACCCTCTAAATTTATATTTACGCAATAGGCAGTCATTAGACCCCCTGACTTTACATTTACGCAATATGCAGTCATTAGATCCCCCTGACTTTACATTTACACAATAGGCAGTCATTAGATCCCCCTGACTTTACATTTACACAATAGGCAGTCATTAGATCCCCCTGACTTTACATTTACACAATAGGCAGTCATTAGATCCCCTGACTTTACATTTACACAATAGGCAGTCATTAGATTCCTGACTTTACATTTATGCAATAGACTTTGTTTACGTTAGGCATTTATTAGGCTCCCTGCTTTTATATTTATACAGCGTGCAGTCAGTTGGATTTTGCTTGATTCTCCTAAATCTAATTTCTATACAATGTGCCTTCATTAGCGCTTCTTTGTATAATCCAGGCGCAACATACAACCGATGCAGTAATAAAGTAGGTGGGTTTTCTCGTGGGTACTTTTTTAATATCTGATAAAAGCTTAGGTTTGGGGTGAATGGCCTTGGCAAAATCACTTAAATAAATCCCCAGACATGCTTAGTTTAAAAACACTTTGACATACACGTCCCTGGTCAGTACACTTTAGAGCTGGATTCAGCAGTCTTTCTACTCTATGAATAGAATATCATACATTTTACTGAGTGAAATGAGTCGGGAATATTGAACAGAGTTTGGATATTAAACATTATAACGAGATTTCCTAAATTAAATTTTTTAATGTTCATACTTGCTCCAAGTACAGTCTAGTATGTCATGTTCTCATATCCCTTAATTGTCCAAATTTATATATATACATTCACCCTAATACCTGGTAATATAATGACTGCCACATCCATGGGCCTATGATGTCTTACTGTATATTCATTATTACAGCTTCTATGTAACAATACATTAAGCATTAATAGGAAGTCCAGGTAATTGAGTGACTCCTAGCTCCCAAATCCTGCAGTGCATTCTATTCGGCTCCCCTCTTTTTTTATAATTTAGACCATTGCAAACCCCTCCTTTTCTGTAATTGAGACTGTTACAACCTCTGTTTTTTCCCTTTCACCTAATTACTATGAAGATCCCCGCTTTAAATAACTTTAGTTGTTCAAAAACAAAAATGTCCAATCTGTAGTTTTGGTTATTATAAAATCAAAATTTTTCAGTTTGATTGTCACTTTCTTTAATTTAGGATAGGATGAGATCCCCCTATTCTGTAATGTAGGATAGGATGTGATTCCCCCCATTCTGTAATGTAGGATAGGATGTGATTTCCCCCCCATTCTGTAATGTAGGATAGGATGTGATTCCCCCCTCATTCTGTAATGTAGGATAGGATGTGATTCCCCCCTCATTCTGTAATGTAGGATAGGATGTGATTCCCCCCATTCTGTAATGTAGGATAGGATGTGATTCCCCCCCCATTCTGTAATGTAGGATAGGATGAGATCCCCCTATTCTGTAATGTAGGATAGGATGTGATTCCCCCCATTCTGTAATGTAGGATAGGATGTGATTCCCCCCATTCTGTAATGTAGGATAGGATGTGATTCCCCCCATTCTGTAATGTAGGATAGGATGTGATTCCCCCCCATTCTGTAATGTAGGATAGGATGTGATTCCCCCCATTCTGTAATGTAGGATAGGATGTGATTCCCCCCCATTCTGTAATGTAGGATAGGATGTGATTCCCACCATTCTGTAATGTAGGATAGGATGTGATATCCTCCATTCTCTAACTTAGGATAGATGGGATCCCTTTATTCTGTAATGTAAGATTGGATGTGATTCCCCCTCATTCTGTAATGCAGGATAGTATGATATCCCCCCATTCTGAAATGTAGGACAGGATATGATCTTACCCAAGATTGGATGTGATTCCCCCTCATTCTGTAATGCATGATAGTGTGATAACCCCCCCCCATTCTGTAATGTAAGTTAAGATGAAATCCCCATTCTGTAATGCATGATGAGTGTGATACCCTCCCCATTCTCCCAATGTGGGATTAGGTTACATCCCCCACTCATTCTTATGGCCATGATAGTGTGATAACCCTTCTGTGTCTTAGGATTAGATTAAATCCCATTCTGTAATGCATGATAGTGTGACCCATTCTGTAATGTAGGATTAGATTAAAACCCCTCATTCTGTAATGCATGATAGCGGTGGCTTGATAGCCCCATTCTGTGTCCTTGGGGGATTAGATTAAACCCCCCTCATTCTGTAATGCATGATAGTGTGAGTAAACCCCTCCCTTCTGTAATGTAGGATTAGATGGAGTCCCCCCACCATTCTGTAATTATGTAGGATTAGATGGGCCCCACACCATTCTGTATTATACAGGACAGGATGTGACCCCATTCTGTAATATAAGATTGGATGAGATCCCCCATTCTGTAATGTAGGGTTGGACGTGGATGTGATAACCCCCCATTAACTTAGGAATTTATGAAATACCCTATCCTCGATCTGTAATTTAGACTATTACAAGACTACCCCTTTCTGTAATTTTATATATTATGAGATACCCTTTAATTTAGAATATCTGATATCCCCCCTTTCTGTAATTTAGAATATTGTGAGATGAGATCCTTCAATTCTGTAATGTATGATAGTTTGAAATCCCCCCTCCCCCCCACCTGAATCTGTAATGTTGGATAGTGTAAAAACCCACTCATTCTGTAATGTAGGACAGTGTGAGACCCCCCATTCTCTAATGTAGGATAAATTATTCCCCCCCCCATTCTGTAATGTAGGATAGAATGAGATCCCCCCCCCTATTCTGTAATGTAGGATAGAATAAGACCCCCATTCTGTAATGTGGGATAGAATGAGAGACCCCCATTCTGTAATGTAGGATAGAATGAGATCCCTCCCCCCCCATTCTGTAACTTAAAATAATATGAGAAGCCCTACACCGATCTGTAATTTAGACTATTACAAGATCACCCCTTTCTGTAATTTAATATATTCTAAGATCCCCTTAAATTTAGAATATTGTGATATTTATTTAGAATATTGTGAGATCCCCCTCCCCATTTTGTAATGTTGGATTGGTTGTGATCCCCCATTCAGTAATGCAGGATAGGGTGAAATTCCCCTGTTCTGTACTGTAGAATAGGATGAGATTCCCCCTTTCTGTAATTTAATATATTATGAGATCCCCTTTAATTTAGAATACAGTGATAACTACCCCACCCCCTTTCTGTAATTTAGACTATTGTAGATTTCTGTAGTTCTGGCTATTGTGATATTTCCCCTCTCCCCCTCTCCCTTTCTGGATTTTTGGTTATTATTAGATCCCCATCCCTTTCTGGAGTTATTTTGTAAAAGGCATATCATGAATCTGCCTCTAGCCACCACAAGGACTGTGTGATATAAATGGCAATAACTGATTTGTAAAACGCACAACATGTTCCCATATTGCGTTAACCACAACTAATAGACCACATTTTCACTAATCTACCGTGGCACAATTCAATGAGCTTGTGACTCCTATTAGCTGATAATAGGTGTTTATCAGATATACGGTTACGCTGAAGGAGAGGACGGGGAAGATCTGCGCGAGTGTCTTTCAGATTACTGATACAATGTCAGGCGGCAATGTATGCCATGTTATCAGCAGGGTGACGAAGACATGTGGTCGTAATCGGGGCACTTGAGCAAGGCTGGGTAGTTGGAATTCATCTGTAGAGAAGCTTCGCTGGAAATATCCGATGGACTGCGTCCACGAACCCAAGCCTCAGGGTGCAGAAACTGGCCTGAATAGTCAGAGCAGTTACTGAGACGTGGACGATAGAAGCCTGGATGGGGCCTATAGGCATCTTCTGCTGTGTATCGTTTCATGAACAGGTAGACCGACATAACACCTGCGCTCTGTAGGAAGAGGAAAACTGGTTAAATGGAGTCACCAATTGGATGTCATTTTTGTTGGCACATTCAATAAGCTGATGTTGAATATTAACCCTGGCTAAGAACCCAAAAATGTGGTCCCTATTGGTTGCAATGGATGTACTATATTAATTGGCCATCGGCGTCTGCTAAAAAATTATTTACTGTAGTGGCACTGATTTCCCAATGCAATGGAGACCAGCTGGCCACTTGATTGAGAATCTGACCGGACACCAGCGGGATTTGGCAGCTGAAACGTTGCTTGCATACACCTTAATAAAAATAAACCGCCTTTGCGGTATTAGGTGTTTCAGTAAAGCATCACAACACTTGGAAAACCTGACCAATGGGTGCTCTCTTTATTTTCTTTTTGTGTATATTAGGGCATTTTGGAGTAGTGGGGAGCTAAACATATGTCTACCTATGTGTGTTGCGCTGTAGCTTCCTCTGAAATTTGTTATTGAAATCTTTATAGCCAGTAGACTGTATGGCTGGTTCCACACGGTATGCAATGTCTGTGACATGATGACATTGGGGGCATAAAGGCCAAATTACCTCTGTCAGAAGGAATGATATGGCTGCAAAGGCGAAGGACCATCCATACTTGTAGCTGAAATAGGTCTCAGAGTCTTTGGTCCTGTTTAAAATCTCATCATTAATGCTCGATATGTAGAGGACAAGACCCACGACCAAGGATAAACCTGCAAAAAAATAAAAATCCAATATTTGTGTACTACACTATGACAAAGCCCCAAACCAACAGCAATGGAGTCACCTGAAACATAACATTTAGCGCCAAGGTACCAGCGAACGGCAAATTATTTGATGCACGTCGTTGATAGTGGCCAAATCCTGCAATATTAACTGATATGAAGAGCGCCCTATTTAAAAGGACACTCAAAGGATCAATTGTGCTTGGAAGTCCTTAGCCCTTCCAACTATAAGCCTTATTCCTCTCTCAAAGTCATCACAGGAGGAAGTTATGCTTCCCTCTGTCAGTACAAGTACTTGTACAGAGGTCATTTACATGCTGAGTAAGTGTCTACCTCCACTAAGAGACTCTGTCATCGATTTAAATCCATGATCGTCAAGGCTAATGGACAGGGGTGCTGAAAACGTAAATTCCCAGATGTTTTAGAACCGGCTTCCCCAAACTCCGCCCCTCCAGATGTTGCTGAACTACAACTCCTATGAATGAAATAGGCTGAGAATCATGGGAGTTGTAGTTCAGCAACATCTGGAGGGTCAGAGTTTTTGGAAGCCTATTTTGGAACTTTCAGAACTGTCATAACGAGAATCCACTCCAACTCAAGCCTGCAGTGTCCTTTTACATATCTGGATTGTAATTATTTTGAGATAACAGAGATATCCTGTTAATGTTTTCTCTCCCATCCTACGTATCTAGGTTAAACTAGAAAATATTCCATTACAGAAATTCACTTGTATTCACATCACTAAGCCCAGCCATTGAAGGACTATTAATATATAATTCAGTAATGGCAAGAGGCTGCATTATCTTTCTTTATTTATGCGTACAGCATGGTACATTCACACTTGTAAACAGTCTCTGTCAGGTCTCAGATTTACATTTAAATGTAGATTTACAGATAAAGAAAAGCCAAGTCTATTTGCTGTTATTGGCAAATCCATCTGTGTCCTGTGCCATCCACTGTTAGCAAGACCTACAATGGACAGTGTACATACGTGGCCAGTGGATTAGTGAGGTTACAGCGATGGTAGGGCGAGATACAGCAAGCCAGAGAGGCATCATGGGTCAAGCAGCCTCAAGCAGAAGGCAATTTCCTCACTTCACTGATTCCATTAAAACTCTGTATTTTTCTGCATCAAATAATCTAAATTCGTTTAAATGGAATTCTTACTGAAGTGCCGCACTTGAAATACATGTTTTTCCGACGTGCGCATAGTACTAAATGGACATCTTGCAAACTGAAAAGCTTGGAACAGGCATCCGGCCCATTCAGAAGTGTCTAGTAAAATCTAAATATAGTTAGAAGAGTACAAACCAGAGAGAATAAAGAAAATCCCTGACACAAAGGCCAGAATAGTCCGATGGGGGCGAATGTGGCCGACGTTGTTAAGGATAAACCCAATAAACATGAAGAAAAGGCTGACCAGGGGAAACGGAGTCGCAGAGCGAATCATTTCTAAACAGAAGAGATCAAATTATTAAAAAAATAAACTGTTATACTGCAACAAGCTACCTACTACAAGATGTTACCCTGTGTTACAGAATACAATGCGCGGATGATGTCACATCAGCCTGTTTGTGTATTTTTTTGCGTATGTATATCTGTGTCTGTACAAATTTATGCGCAAATGTCTCTATGCAATAGACTTCCTGGATTACCCTTCCTTTGTGGTGACGGCCATGTTAATGTCCTCCCTGGATGGACGGACTGCTTGTCCGAAGATCACTAAAATTAGAATGGCTGGAAGCATCACTGTGCGTGTTTTACAGACGTGTTGCTTGCACATGGAGACAGGGTTTTCATAAACAAGCTCTTGGTTACCCGCATGGTTTTTGTTTAGAAAATCAGAGCTTCTAACAAGAGGACAAGATGTCCACCCTGACAGAGCAAGTGTAGGCCAGGAGATGTACGTGAATTAGGTCTTTTCTTACATACCTGCATTACAAAAGAATACAAGGAAACTATGAAACTATAAAAAAATCTTCTCCCTCGTGATATCAAATGACAGGTTTAAAATCCAGTACTCCCCATTAAATCAATCAATATATTCACCGGTGCCTTTTACTCACTTAATACGCTGATCGTCGATTCAGATGTCATCTGCATGTTCATGGGCATCACATATTCTATGGTGAAGCAGCGGCCTTGTTCCTCCCCTGCAGTTAGAGACAGCTCTGTCACTGGACCACACAAATGACCTTTAGTTTCAAAAAGTCTCACGGTTCATCAAATTCTTTTCATTACATCTTTTATACTACTTTTTAAATATCACCTACCTGTTCTTAAGCGATTTTAGAAAAGTGTGCCTGTCGTTAATGTTTTGACATACCATTCTCTTATATATATTTCCATTAATTGTTAACAATAACATGTTGATTGATACATGACAAGTGTCCTGGATCCTGTTGGTCAGTCCTGATCTGGGGCCCATGTCTTACTCTCCCGTGATGCTTCTCTGGTGCCCTGTTTCTTAGCAATCTCCCAAGTAGGCATAGTGTATCCTTGACCTCGCTTGCTATGGAAGAACTCTAGGCACGTGCAAATTGTTGGCAAATGGATGTTAGTGCAGCATGCCAGATGGGCATGATGCCCATTGCCAGCAGCATCCCCTTGGTAGCATCAATGGCACATCCTTTATTGGCATTTGTAACACCCTTTAACATTCTTGTGTCATGTATATTGGCTCTGAAAATCTTGTGTAGATCTTGATTTAAGAGATACCTGTAATAAATATTAACTAATATAGCGCAGAGAGGCTGAAATAAAGCTATGCAATAATATACCCCACCACACAAAACAACGTATTGTTGAATATATTGCTTATAACCAGTAAACCACTTCCTGTATTGACCTCACTTGCAATAATCACTTTAACTGGCTGCAGACCCCCTGCCATGTTAGATTTACAATATGGAGGCCATCATGTCTGTGGGTCCCCAAGAGTACGGCGTCTTTGTAGACAGACCTCTCATGAGTGGTTCAAACAGAGGTTCCCCTTGGAATTCAGTGGCAGTGCATAAGCTGTCAGAGCTTTATAAATAATGAGAGGTGTTTTATGAGGCACTAAAAATATCAGTGAAAGCGGGTCAGGAAGGGCACATAATGGCCAAATAACATCTCTCTTGCTCTCTCTGCTAAAGTTATCTTTTAGTCATTTTAAAACTGCTTTTACGCAGTAATTTGACTTGGAGGTAGAGAAAAGAAAATGTGACGAGTCAAGACAATGTCAGATTTTCATGGTGCATGGAGCATGTACTATGGAGCAGTAACGCTTTGTTATCCATTACCCAGAGTCCTTTATGCTTTGTTACCCATTACCCAGAGCTCTCTGCTGTAGATGGCTGATGGCCTATGTTATTTTACCCTTAAAACATGATAAGCCACCAGGAACGCTTTGGATGCCATTACCCAGAGTCCTCTGCTGTAATCACATGATAAGCTACCAGGAACGCTTTATGTGGTCCTCTGCTGTAATCACATGATAAGCTACCAGAAACGATTTGAATGCCATTACCCAGAGTCCTCTCCTGTAATCACATGATAAGCTACCAGGAACGCTTTGTGTGCCATTACCCAGAATCCTCTGCTGTAATCACATGATAAGCTACCAGGAACGCTTTGTGTGTCATTACCCAGAGTCCTCTGCTGTAATCACATGATAAGCTACCAGGAACGCTTTGCGTGCCATTACCCAGAGTCCTCTGCTGTAATCACATGATAAGCTACCAGGAACGCTTTGTGTGGTCCTCTGCTGTAATCACATGATAAGCTACCAGAAACGCTTTGAATGCCATTACCCAGAGTCCTCTCCTGTAATCACATGATAAGCTGCCAGGAACGCTTTGTGTGCCATTACCCAGAGTCCTCTGCTGTAATCACATGATAAGATGCCAGGAACGCTTTGTGTGCCATTACCCAGAGTCCTCTGCTGTAATCACATGATAAGCTACCAGGAACGCTTTGTGTGCCATTACCCAGAGTCCTCTGCTGTAATCACATGATAAGCTACCAGGAACGCTTTGGATGCCACTACCCAGAGTCCTCTGCTGTAATCACATGATAAGCTACCAGGAACTCTTTGTGTGCCATTACCCAGAATCCTCTGTTGTAATCACAATATAAGATACCAGTCATGGTTTGTTCACCATTACCCAGAATCCTCTGCTGTAATAACAATATAAGATACCAGTCATGCTATGTGTCCCATTACCCAGAGTCCTCTGCTGTAATCACAATATAAGATACCAGGCATGGTTTGTTCACCATTACCCAGAATCCTCTGCTGTAATCACAATATAAGATACCAGGCATGGTTTGTTCACCATTACCCAGAATCCTCTGTTGTAACACAATATAAGATACCAGGCATGGTTTGTTCACCATTACCCAGAATCCTCTGCTGTAATCACAATATAAGATACCAGGCATGGTTTGTTCACCATTACCCAGAATCCTCTGCTGTAATCACAATATAAGATACCAGGCATGGTTTGTTCACCATTACCCAGAATCCTCTGCTGTAATCACAATATAAGATACCAGGCATGGTTTGTTCACCATTACCCAGAATCCTCTGTTGTAACACAATATAAGATACCAGGCATGGTTTGTTCACCATTAGCCAGAATCCTCTGCTGTAATCAAATATAAGATACCAGGCATGGTTTGTTCACCATTACCCAGAATCCTCTACTGTAATCAAATATAAGCTACCAACCAATATCTAATGTGCAATTTTCTAATGCATTTTGAACAATAATTATAATTTGTTGCCATTTTCCCCTGATACAATTGTTGGACAGACCTGAATAACAAATTCACAAATGAATAATGTAATGATTTGCTTAGTCCGGTACCTGCTAGGAAGCAGACTCTCCACAGTCCTGAGTGCAGGGACATCTGGATCTCTGTGGTCTGGTTTTGGGGGAGAATTATACCTTCTTCTAGGTAGAGCCAGTAGTCCGTGCTGACTGCAATTCCCAGTAGCCCCAGGCCACACACTGCGAATACGCTGCTGAGGAGTGTGAGTGCTTTTCTACTGCATGCCCCCATCCCACAAAGCATCAGGTCTGAGATGGTACAAGAGAGGATCTGTAGAAGACATGGGATATGAGTAATGATAAATACCAAATCTACAGCCACGCATTTCCCAGGAGGTCATTTAAAAAGAAATATTGAGTTCTTATACGCTGTACATAACTAAATCAATATATAAGAGCATTGAAGTGTACAATGGTAGTTAAAGGATCACTATAGTCAGGGCCGGTGCAAGGATTTTTGCCGCCCTAGGCAAAAGTAAAGTTTGCCGCCCCCCATGTGACATCACAATGCCCCAGCCATATGATCTGCCATGTTAACTAACGCCAGTGCTGCAGTGCCGCCGTGTTTACATTAAAAGGCCTGCAGGGACAGGCTATAGACACCAGAACCACTACATTAAGCTGAAGTGGTTCTGGGGACTAGAGATTAGTGCCACGAATAATATACTAGATTGCCTACTTACAACCAGATGAGGATGAGGATGGGCTCAAGCTGCAGTCTGGCTCCACTGGTCTGGTGTAGAACAGGCTCCCTGGAGGCTGTTTGTAACTGTGGTCACAAAAATCAATATACTAGGAGAACGGGAAGCAGCTACATTTTTTTTAAGGCCCTTTATTTATTTTTTTTGAATCTGTGTTTGTATGTGTAAGGGCTGCAAGGTGTGTTTCTGTGTATGTACGGGATGCATTGAGTGTGTGCATCTGTAAGGGGTGTGTGTAAGGAATGCATTGTGTGTTTCTGTGTGTGAAAGGGATGCATTGTGTGTAAGGGTATCCTTGTAATGCATTGTGTGTTTTTCTGTGTGCAAGGGGTGCATTGTCTTTGTGTGTAAGGGGTGCATTGTGTGTGTGTGTGTGATGGATGTCAATCTCTTCTCCCCCCTCTCCCTCCCTTGTCCCTCTCTTCTCCCCCCTTGTCCCTCTCTTCTCCCCCCTCTCTGTCAATTCCCCCTCCCTGTCATTCACCCTCCTGTCACCCACCCCTCCCCTGTCAATTTCCCACCCCTCCCCTGTCAACCCCTGTCACCCCCTCCCTGTCAATTTACCCCCCCCTGTCAATTTCCCCCACCTGTCCATTTCCCCTTCCCTGTCCATTCCCCCACCCTGTCCATTCCCTCCTGTCCATTTCCCCCACCTGTCCATTTCTCCCCCTCCCCTGTCCATTCAATTTCTCCCCCCCACGTCAATTTCTCCCCCTACCTCCCTGTAGCGTGGCCGAGCCCTCTATGGTATGGTTCGCGGGTACAGGGAGCTTTTGTTTCCTGTACCTGGCCGGACTAACAGGAAGTGCACACTCAGTCCGGACAGCCACTAGAGGCTGGATTAACCCCAAATGTAAACATAGCAGTTTCTCTGAAATGGCTTTGTTTGCATCTGAAGGGTTAAAACCTGAGGGACCTGGCACCTAGACCACTTCATTGAGCTGAAGTGGTCTGGGTGACTATAGTGTCCCTTTAACATATAATACGTGGTTTGTGATTGGTACAACAAAACATGGCACTTATCATCTGTCTACTGGCACTGAAGGTATGCTGCTGCTCGTATGTAGCATTGAACATTGAATATCTATGGTGCAATCTAGCATGCTGCAAGCTAGTGTGATGCCTCCAAAAAAAATATCTATGGACCAGGATATCAACCTAATTACAAGGTAACTGGGAAACAACTAAGGTCCAGGTGTTCTGTATGGCAGAAGGCTTTAATTATGGACTGGAACTTCGGTTGGGGATTATCACTAGGAGGGTTCTCCCCCAGACAGTCTCGGGAGGCGCATTGTGTAGTTCCTCAACCCACCACTTTGCTGTAGCTTGGTAGTAGGCTCTGGTTGTAATGCAGTCTGCAGACCCACATCCCTGAGGAATGCCTCCGGGTCATCCGCCGACATCAAGGTTCTTCATGTTTGGCCAAAAGAGACCCTTCCAATCCGCATCTGTATTTAATGGAACAGTCTCTGAGTCTTTTAGTTACTGGTGCCAATTTCCTTCTTTTCACCAGAACAGGGAAGGGGATGTCGCCGTATACATTCACTGTGCAGCCATCAAAGGATATAGATCCCTGAGTTCTGGAGTAGTTTAGTATAGCATTCCTCACTGCTACATCTCGTGTTACGGCAATGCGCCGTTCCCAGCGTGTTTACTGCTTTACTTGCAAGCAAAGGGCTTCAATTTGAGAATTGGCAGCCCGCAGTTGTCCGTCTATGGCAGCCTCCCGCTCTTCCACCGCTCACATTTGTGGTGGACAACCCCCATCTCAGTCTGAACTTCCTGTAGATCCGACTTCCAGACCTGCCATAGGTGTGTGAGGAGTTTTTGATGTCTCCCTTCTTGGATCGGGTTGAATCCTCGTTCGAGTAGGATGCTTGGTAGACACCTCCAGATCGTGGCTCATCCGACACCTCTGATTCACTTTGGGCCTCGGGCGCCATCTTTGGAGGCATCCGCGGTGCCGGCCTCTCAAAGGATAGCCTGATGTCTTGCAGACGGGGAGTTTCTGGGTGCTGGTGTCTCTTATTCTTGCGCCTCATTGTGTCTTCTGATGCCCCACAACAAGATGTCCGCTCTGTTTCTCTATTGACCACGCCCTCTGGGTTTTTCTCACCCATATGATGTCACTCATGTCTTATAGAGTTTGTTTTGTTTTTTTAAATTTTATTTTATTCATTTTTCAAAAGTGGAAAATAAATACAACAAATACATCATACAAAACAGATAATATATAAAACATTTAAAGGACCACTATAGTGCCAGGAAAACAAACTTGTTTTCCTGGCACTATAGTGCCCTGTGGGTGCCCCCCCCCCCCTCGGGTCCCACTCCTGCCGGGCTGAAGGGGGAGAAAGAGGGTTAAACACTCACCTTTCTCCAGCGCCAGGCTCCCTCGGCGCTGGGGACTCTCCTCCTCCTTCGGTCGTCATCGGCTGAATGCGCATGCGCGGCAAGAGCCGCGCGCACATTCAGCCAGTCTATAGGAAAGCATTCTCAATGCTTTCCTATGGACGCTGGCGTCTTCTCACTGTGAAAATCACAGTGAGAAGTGTGGAAGTGCCTCTAGCGGCTGTCAATGAGACAGGCACTAGAGGCTGGATTAACCCATTTGTAAACATAGCAGTTTTTCTGAAACTGCTATGTTTACAGCAAGCAGGGTTAATCCTAGATGGACCTGGCACCCAGACCACTTCATTAAGCTGAAGTAGTCTGGGTGCCTATAGTGGTCCTTTAACATATGAAACATAAATCACCAATAACGTATAATGCCTAAAACATAAAGCATAAAGCACCGGTCTAGTGTCTTATAGAGTTACATATTGGAATTAGGGGATAACTGGATGTGGTTAATGGGGGATGCTGGTTCACAGCACTTTCTCTGATTCAACTTATGGAATATATAAGGGAATCCGAGCTATTTACTAAAGTGTGAATTGTTAAGAATTCAAAATGAGTTCACAATGAATAGCATCCACCAAGTCTTTCACTACAATTCAATAACTGTGCACATAATGTATCTGGGCACATAAAACCCACAACTGCAGCCCCAGACTGAGACATTTTTCACAGACTAGCCTCCAGACAGTGGCATACATACAGGGGTCGCAGCTGCGACCGGGCCCGTCACTCCAGGGGGCCCCTGGCCACCCTGCGGACCACTGCAGCCAGGTGCCCACGGATCAGTTTTTTCGCACCGGGGCACCATGGATCGTGTGTACGCCAGTGCCTCCAGATACCTGCATTTGTTATAAAGCATCTTCACTAGCTGTGGTACTGCCACCCTGTTGGGTCATTGACCTTATGGGTTGATATTGATGAGTGTATAGCACCCCACATAATATTATATTATATTACAAACCCTAATTTGGTTACTATTATTCGATAGAGCTGACTTGAGGAACTTATGTTCTGCTTGTTGTCTTCTGTTTGTGGGAACGATATAAACATAGAATGTGTTCATCATTTCAACTGTCTTAAGCTGTTCCTGTTATGATTCTTCCTATATCATTATGACTTTCAGTTTGAGTTATTAGACCAAGGCATTATAACAACGTAAGCATAATGAAGCAGTTTGGGTGTATAGGGTTAGCAGCGGACCCAGTTTGACTGGTATTGTCCCTGTTTAGAATCGCTGTCCTGGCGTCCAGCGGTTGGTAGTTCTGTCTCCGCCAGCGGAGCTGCACTGGGGCCCGCACCCTTCTGGGGGCGCCCTGTGGCCGACACAGCTCACACATGGCCGGGATTTAAAAAAATATATATATTTGCGGCGGGGTGGAGCTTACTGTGCGGTGGGCGGAGCTTTCTGCGACGGGGCGGAGCTAAAAGCGCCAGGTAACTGCTGCAGGGGAAGCAGAAAGGAGTCCCTGCTTCCCCACCAAACAGTATCCAGGAGCTGCACTACCTCCACAATGAACTCCACAGGTAACTGTGTGATTATCAGTGTGAGTGTGACTGTCTGTGTGTGTGTGTGACTGTCTGCCTGTGTGTGTATGACTGCCTGTGTGTCTGTGTCTGTGTGTATGACTGTCTGCCTGTGTGTCTGTGTCTGACTGTCTGCCTGTGTGTCTGTGTGTATGAATGTCTGCCTGTGTGTATGACTGCCTGTGTGTGTGTGTGTGTGTGACTGTCTGCCTATGTGTGTGTGACTGCCTGTGTGTGTATGACTGTCTGTGTGTGTGTGTGTGTATGACTGTCTGTGTGTGTGTGTATGACTGTGTGTGTATGACTGTCTGCCTGTGTGTGTCTGTGTGTGTGACTCTCTGCCTGTGTGTGTGTGTGTGCGTGACTGCCGGTGTGTGTTTGTTTGGCTGTCTGCCTGTGTGTGTGACTGCCTGCCTCTGTGTGTGGATGTTTTCCTGTGTGTGTATGGCCATCTGACTCTGTGTGTGTGTGTGTGTGTGGCTGTCTGTCTGTGTGTGTGTGGCTGTCTGTATGTAAGTGTGTGTGTGTGTGTGTGTGTGTAAAACTATGTGTGGCTGCCTGCCTGTGTGTGTGTGTGTGTGTGTGTGGCTGTCTGCCTGTAATTGTGTGTGAGTGTGTTTATCTACCTGTAACTGTGTATGTGTGTTTCTGCCTGTACCTGTGTGTTTCTGCCTGTGACTGTGTGCATGTGGTGGATTTGACAGTGTATATGTATAACTGTGTGCATCTGACTGTGTGCACATAACTCTGCAAAAATATACACCTGCAATCACACACAGGCTTAAATGCATGTTTTTATCTTTATTAAATAACCATCACACACAGCCAATAAACCCAGCACAAATATCAAATACAACCAATACACGCATATCACACACTGTTAATACACCCAATACAAATATCACACACAGCCAACACACAGCATACATATCACTCACAGTCATCACACCTACTATCACATACACAGACAACACAAACATTACATCATACATGGATGACGGGGGGAGGGGGCACTTGAAGATTTTTCACTTAAAGGCCTAAGGTCGGCTCTGCTGGGGCCCATCGGGAGTCATTGACAGCGTGACTGGGCTCTGGTCAGATGCTGCTGGGAGGAAGTGAATGCAGATCACTTCCTCCCAACTACCAGAGAAAGCCGCGCAGGGAAGAATGGCTGCAGAGAGGAGTCGGAGAGAGAGAGGAAATACACAGAGGAAGAAGCAGGCTCCCACCAACCCCAGACTCCCATCACCCTCAGACTGCAGGGCCTACTAGACCTTAAGGAAGCCACCCTCCTGCACCCAAATGGTATGGTAACAGGATGGTGGCTAGAGGTATGGCAATAATCACTTTGTATATTTGTGTGTATCTGTCAGTATCTATGTGTGTGTGTGTGTAAGTGTGTATGTGTATCTGTGTAGTTATGTGTGTACCTGCGTATGTGTGTGTTTATCTGTGTGTGTCGGGGGATATGTGTACCTGTGCCAGTATGTGTGTGTATCTGTTTCCACAATGAGGATGTTACACTCCACCCAGTGCAGTGCCTGGTGACACTCCAATTGGTGCCAATTTCTACTCTAAAAATTATGGTAAACCTATGTATAGATCATGCCCCTGCAGTATCACTGCTCAATTCTAAATCCCTTTGTTACGGTACATGCAGCTCTAGCCACACCTCAACTGGCTGTGACTGACAAAACAGAATTTGCAATAAAGGGAGGGTAAAACATTAGACCTTTCTTTACAGGAAGTGTTTAGGAACGCTGTGTAAGTAACATGCAGGGAGGTGTGGCTAGGGCTGCATAAACAAAGTGATTTAACTCCTAAATGTCAAGGAATTGAACAGTGCGACTGCAAGGGCATGATCTATACACACAAACTGCTTCATTAAACTAAAGTTGTTTCGGTGTCTATAGTGTCCCTTTAAGATCATATTATAATTTACTAAATATCTCTACCTTGGGCTATGTCTCAGCCTCCATTTTCTGTTTCTGTTTGATCACTCTATATGCACTGAATCACTATGATTGTTTTTATTTTATTTGAAATTGCCTAGCTCACCCTAGCTCTGAATGCTTGTATTTTGCCGATTTTTTTTTTTTTTTTTTCAGACAGAATAAAGTGATGAAAACAAAAGACTTGAATCCCTCAAGTTCCAAATTGTCTGCAATTTGCTGTAGGCTGCTTGTTGTGTTTTATGAGCTCAGCCTGCATTGACCTTAACTCGCAAGCACGGCTCACAACAAAACGCGCTAATTTGCAAGCTATGCATAGGCAATCATGGAAACACACGGCTAACGTTCAGATTCAGGCATCAAAGGCAGTAACTTCAGTAGGATTTATTGGGATGACTATTACTAACTAGAAAAGTTACAATTTCTGGGGAAATTGTGTGAAGTGTTCTTGCCTCCACCTGTAGTCTACAACTGGAGTGGGCGGAGTAACTGTTATCATTTACATAGCACATTTAATTGCAACATTGTTGCACAGTTACATTAAACCATACATTTATAAAAACATTAGCAGGTGTTCAAAAGGCCCTGTCTATGACATCACTTGCTGCTGCAGCTTGACACAGGTCAGAGTATTTTGGCGGTTGCCATCTTCAAACGGTCGTATCTTAAAAACTATAACTCCTACAGTGAAGAGCTTTATATTGTGAGAATCACAAGACCCAGACCTACATTTTGATGCATAGTATGTCTCTGAAGTATTAAAAATTGAAGGCACAGTCGCAGTTTAGAAATTGCACTTCAAATTTGAGCTTTGCAGAGTGAAGTTTCAATGAAAGTCAATGGACGGCGTTAGTTGCAAACAAATGATTATATTGTGAAAACTATCAGGACTACGGCTTAGCCGTTGACATGTTTAGTGGCAGCAGGGATAGCTGAACGTTTTGATATAAGATTTGTGTAGGTGGGCCTGAAAATAAGGGAGTGGTGGCAGTTTAGAAATCATGTCCTGATTTTTCAGCTTTTGCCAGCTCCCACTCTAGCTTTGCCATTCATTCCTATGGGACAAATTTCGCCACAAGAACGACGATATTCCGTGAACCATTCGGCGAAACGTTCCACAAAGTAATAGCAATCCGATCGGGAACAATCTGCACGTTTTGGTAAATTTCTGTCTATGTAGTGTAAAAACTGTGGGAGGAGTTAGGGTGGCAAATTTTGCTATAATAAGAATAATAATAATAACTAGAAAAGCTACAATTTCTGGGGAAATTGTGTGAAGTGTTCTTGCCTCCACCAGTAGTCTACAACTGGAGTGGGCGGAGTAACTGTTATCATTTATATAGCACATTTAATTGCAACGTTGTTGCACAGTTACATTAAACCATACATTTATAAAAACATTAGCAGGTGTTCAAAAGGCCCTGTCTATGACATCACTTGCTGCTGCAGCTTGACACAGGTCAGAGTATTTTGGTGGTTGCCATCTTCAAACGGTCGTATCTTAAAAACTATAACTCCTACAGCAGGGCATTTCTATATTGTGAGAATCACAAGACCCAGACCTACATTTTAGGTGGGCCTTGGTACCATAGGAGTGGTGGCAGTTTAGGAACAAGGTCCTGATTTTCAGTTTTGCCAGCTCCCACTCTAGCTTTTAAGTTTATCTATTCCATAATACCACAAGAACCATTTAGAGTTTATTCCGTGAACCATTAAATAAACGTTCCACAAAGTAATAGCAACCGATCGAACAATCTGCACGCTTTTGGTAAATTCTTGTCTGCGTAGTGTAAAAACTGTGGGAGGAGTTAGTGGCAAATTTTGCTATAATAATAATAATAATAATAATATATATGTGAGATAACAATAAGTGGTCTTGCTATGCAAGAACACTTAATAATAATAATATATATGTGAGATAACATTAAGTGGTCTTGCTATGCAAGAACACTTAACTACTATTAAATAGCAGAACCAGGAAGGTCACTGTGTTTAACACCATAAAACCAGGCAGAATTCTGACTAAATAAACCGATATTAACAGAACATTGGCAGAAACGCGTTTGTTCGCTACCGGCTGCACAGATAAACCTTTTGCGTTTCGCCTCCTTAAATCGTTGAGTCTTTGCTTTTGTATTTTTTTCTTTACCACAATGACTGATGCAGACTCTATACTCGATTAAGCAATCTTTCCGCGATTATATCCATAACGTCTTTCTCATTACGTAAAATGCAACAAATGCTCCGTTCATTTACCATTACTTGGCTCTGGCCCTCTAACCCCAATTAATCCGGACCTACTGAAGTCTTAATAATGAGATGTGGGGTATTGATTTCACACAGAGTGATCATGCATACTAACAAGCCAGCATCATCCTTTCGCCTCGGAATAATTTATCCTAAAAATGAGGAGACAATTACAGATGTGGGCTGCATAAAGTAAACGTATTCTGGAGCAAAATTACTTGTACTGTATTAAGGAAAAAGGTCCAGAAACGAACACACTGGGGTGATTATGTTTTACAGATGGGAGGATGGTGAATAATTTATTAATGTGGTAGATTTGGGTGAGGACATTGACCTGTAAAATGTTGATTATCCAAAAGCAATCAGAGATAAGCCATTGTCGTGGAGGCCATGAGGGCAACTCTTTTAGAACCAATTTTTTTTTGTCAGGGATTTGGGAATAGGGTTGTTAAATTCTTTAATAGTTCATTGTTCTCTTCGACCTGTTATTTATTTATTTTTTACATTACCTGTTAAATTTCAACTTTCTTTCAAGTTAACCTATTTATGTGAAAAATGTATGTGTTGGGCAGACTAGATGGGCCAAATGGTTCTTATCTGCCGTCACATTCTATGTTTCTATGTTTCTAAAACTGGTGAACATAATAGGTCATGGATTAGGATTAGGGTTATCTCAATGAAGTGGTCTGGGTGACATGCCCACACAACGATTAAATGCCTCTAATGGCGGTCACTCACTCATTCAGCCACTAGAGCAGGGGTTCCCAATTATTTTTTCCCGTGGAACCCTTTGATACTTTAACATAGTGTATCAACATCGCGGAACCTCCCCCCACCTCAAAAAACAAAAACCTATTTTGTGCCGTTACATAAACCTTTTTTTTTTTTGTATGTGCTGGTGTGTGTCTTTGTATTAAGGTGTGTATCTGTATTTGTATGTGCTGGTGTGTGTATCTGTGTGTATATGTATCTGACACACAGATACACACACACTGGCATATAGTGGCACACAGATACCCACACCTTGACTCACAGTGTGTATCTGTGTGTGTATGTATGTATCTGTGTGTCAAGGTGTGTTTAACTGTGTGTATCTGTGTGTCAAGGTGTGTGTATCTGTGTTTGTGTGTATGTATCTGACACACAGATACACACACACACTGGCACATAGTGGCACACAGATACACACACCTTGACACACAGTGTGTGTGTGTGTATGTATCTTTGTGTCAAAGTGTGTGTATCTGTGTTTGTATGTCCCGGTGTGTGTCAACGTGTGTGTGTATGTGTGTGCCAGTGTGTGTATCTGTGTGTGTATGTATCTGACACACAGATACACACGCACTGGCACATAGTGGCACACATATACACACACCTTGACAGACTGTGTGTGTGTGTGTGTGTATCTGTGTTTGTATGTGCCAGTGTGTGTATCTGTGTGACACATAGATACACACACAGATACACACATTAACACACACACTGGCAGATATACTGACACACATATATACACACACCTTGATACACAAACTGGCACATACACACACAGATTAACACACATTGGCAGACACACACACACAGGTACACATACACACACACACAGACACGTACACATATGTGTGAAGTCACTGGATAGGAGGAGGAGGCTGAGCTCAGAAGATGAATGGGGATTATTTAAGGCAGTTAATGAGGGACAGTTACCTATCATCATACAAATGACGACAAGCTTTACAATAAAGCCAAATTACGGTTATGGTGATGATAGTGTCCCTTTAAGGGAAATAAATTGAGACTCCATAATAGAGCATTAAGCCTGTTACTAAAGTTCTTTCTTAAAACATACAAAAACATATGTTACAAACATTTTTAAAAAGATATAAAATAATGTACCAATCCGTAACAAGGATAGCATGTGCATGATAGGAATTTTGGACTTTGAACATAAATCACTAATACTGTTATTAATAATAATGCATCTAGCCAACAGGACTCCCAATACGTTTTATAATTCAAGATCACGCGTTACAACAGCCACTTAATCTACGAGAAAATGATAGGGGTGAGGAGGGAGTGATATTTCTCAGCTATGGTAAATACGAATTGCTTTAGAGGGGAGTAGTTGATTTCTCCTGACACGAGTTCTGGAATTATTATTATTAGTTTGAAAATTGTGGAACTGTTTTAAAAAATGGAAACAAGGCATGGAGCTATTTTAATATTAATGTGTGCTTGTCTGTAGCAGGGAAATAAGCACAGTGGGATATGCAAGGAAGACATGTTGGGTTAAGTATTGGGGGAGATAGAAGAAAAAATAGGTCACACGACAAGGATTAAAATGCAAACCTCGTTATTTAACCCTTTTTTATGCAATGATATAGCTGCCATTACTCAGTTATATAACACCTTCTGCCAATTCTGTCACGAGTCGTGCTGTGAAAATCACAGTTACAAAGCTCCAAAAATCACACAATCCGAGAATCTCACCATTTCAATTCTGGGCTAAAACTAGCAATTCTCGCTTCCGTAAGTGAACTAAAAAGATAACCGGAAAACCTGGGCAAAACACTGAAGATAATGGCTGCTCACAAGCTGGTTTCCAGGTAACAACCCTTAATGCGGTCTTTGCTTGACGACGATTAGCCTGCGTGGACCTTCTAACCGAATGGCAAGATTTAGGCAAAATAACCAAACTTTCATTGCAGAGAACTAAATTTAACAATCTGGTTTTCAATTCACGACAATTTAGCGCTTAGTGATTAAACCTCTAGATTTTACAAAATTCTTGCTTACTGTGCCCACCCGTGGAACCAGGACATTTTTAACAGGTCGTAATATCACAAGTGAAATTCCTAAAACTCTGAGGGAAAATACATTTAACACATTTCAGTCTGGCCTATCATCATGCAAAGTTCATTGAAATTTGTGGGAGGAAATGTCTCTTCCCGGGGATTTATAAAACTAAATATCGCCATTCTCCTAGATTTACCAAATATCTCTTCTAAACCTGTATTTACACACTCAAGCCCTCCGTGAACACTATTCTAGCAACCATAGTTTTCTACCCTACCTTTACCTTTTGTGTCACTGTACCCCACTCCCTCTAACATGTAAACTCACTGAGCAGGGCCCTCAATCTCTCTGTTACTGTGTCACTATACCCCACTCCCTCTAACATGTAAACTCACTGAGCAGGGCCCTCAATCTCTCTGTTACTGTGTCACTATACCCCACTCCCTCTAACATGTAACCTCACCGAACACGGCCCTCAACCCCTCTGTTCCAGTGTGTCCATCTTGTCTGGTTTTAACTACGTGTCTGTCCACCCATTTGTACAGCGCTGGGGAATCTGTTGGCGCTTTATTAATAATAATAATCAGTACCCAATGCATTGTGTGCCAAGACTGCAGTTGATTGTGAAAACGGCATGTGGAGGGCTTTGTGGCAAAATTTAAGCCAACATTTCCAAAACTGGAACAACCGGCGTCTTTTGATAAATTAAGTTTTTACTTTTTCATGGTCAATGCAGCAGTCTGTAAAAGTTACAGTTTAGTAAATTTACATGTCTGCGTAGGGCTGTTCAGCCTGGGTTTTTAAAGGGCCGGTGCCCCGCCTGCCAGAGACGCGTGAGCTCCACAATCAGCAGTGCGCAGTTTGTAAAGAGATGAGAGAAATTACCATTCAGCGTGCAGTCGGAGAGATTCTTGCAATCAGTCCCAAGTGCTCGACACTTTTAGCAAGGTCAAGAATATCGTAAATCCGCTTCGCGTTAAGGGGAAGTGCTGGCGAGAATTCACTCGTCCTTTGTTCGCTAACAAAAGACATTGATTCTGCTACAAGTGAATCTTTAATTATTGGTGTAAAGTGCTGAAATTTGTGAGGTGGTCTTGTTTCTCTGCATCTGCCCGTGGCGATGATGGTATCAAACAAAGGAGCGTTGCGTTGGCATTAAATCGGCTGTAATGCTCCATGTAGAACACCTGAGGGTGATTGCTGCCTATTATACTTTTAAAACACAACTGAATGTACTATCATCCCATGATCCCAGAAAGCCTAGCTCTCCTTCATGCTTGCATTGATGTTACACATCGAAAGGTGAAATAATGCCAATCACTGCCCCTAATGTGTCATCGGTGCCAAGACTATGTGGAAGCCAGGTGACCCAGTGACGTCAAACACAGGAAAGGGGCTTCAGTACACGTTTACCTTGGCAAGCTGGCTGCAGTAATGATATAATTTGGCATCAAGGATGAAGTGAGAGTGGTGATACAAGGATATCATGGCATACAGCAAGAGTCAGGTGTCCCCGCTGTATGCAGCAAGTCAGACAGGAAATGTTTATCCTGCTTATTAACCTGTAATTACACTAATATGGAACACTTACCTGCACATATAGTCTATCACAATTGTATATTTCTGTATAGTGGTATATTTCTGTGACTATCTGCACACATACACACACTGGCTGTTCAAGGGGTTATAAGAACCTCTCCCATTCCTCTGTGCCAGCCACCTCAATCCTTTTATCCCTCTGTGCCAGTCACCACAATCCTTCCATCCTTCTGCATCAGTCACCCAGATCCTTCCATCCCTCTGTGCCAGTCACCCTGATTCTTCCATCTTTGTGCCAGTCACCCAGATCCATCCATCCCTCTGTGCCAGTCACCCCAATCCTTCCATCCTTCTGTGCCAGTCACCCCAATCCTTTCATCTTTGTGCCATTCACCCAGATCCTTCCATCTCTGTGCCAGTCACCCTGATCCTTCCATCTCGGTGTGCCAGTCACTCAGATCCTACTATCTGTGTGCCAGTCACCCCAATCATTCCATCCCTCTGTGCCAGTCACCCTGATCCTTCCATCCCTCTGTGCCAGTCACCCCGATCCTTCCATCCCTCTGTGCCAGTCACTCCGATCCTTCCATCCCTCTGTGCCAGTCACTCCGATCCTTCCATCCCTCTGTGCCAGTCACCCCAATCCTTCCGTCCCTCTGCGCCATTCACCCAGATCCTTCCATCTCTGTGCCAGTCACCCCGATCCTTCCATCTCTGTGTGCCAGTCACCCCAATCCTTCCGTCCCTCTGCGCCATTCACCCAGATTCTTCCATCTCTGTGCCAGTCACCCAGATCCTTCCATCTCTGTGTGCCAGTCACCCCAATCCTTCCGTCCCTCTGCGCCATTCACCCAGATCCTTCCATCTCTGTGCCAGTCACCCCGATCCTTCCATCTCTGTGTGCCAGTCACCCCAATCCTTCCGTCCCTCTGCGCCATTCACCCAGATCCTTCCATCTCTGTGCCAGTCACCCCGATCCTTCCATCTCTGTGTGCCAGTCACCCCAATCCTTCCGTCCCTCTGCGCCATTCACCCAGATTCTTCCATCTCTGTGCCAGTCACCCAGATCCTTCCATCTCTGTGTGCCAGTCACCCCAATCCTTCCGTCCCTCTGCGCCATTCACCCAGATCCTTCCATCTCTGTGCCAGTCACCCCGATCCTTCCATCTCTGTGTGCCAGTCACCCCAATCCTTCCGTCCCTCTGCGCCATTCACCCAGATCCTTCCATCTCTGTGCCAGTCACCCCGATCCTTCCATCTCTGTGTGCCAGTCACCCCAATCCTTCCGTCCCTCTGTGGCAAACCTAGCCACTTCTGGACACTTAGGGTGAATATTTTGTTAACTGTTGCTATGCTCGTTTTATATGCAGTGTGTAGCATTCGTCTGAATATTATATCAGTTATGTATTTTTTTTATGTAAAACTGTATATTTTGCTGTACGGAGAGATAATGTGATTAACAGTACATTCTTGCACAATTATCTCTCCTGTACAGCAAGGCATGCTGGGAAACAGCCTTGCAGGCTAAGTTCCTCACACAGTCCTCTGTAATAAAACCCCTGCAATGTCACTCAGGAAACCCCTTGCATGGGGTCTTGCATAAATACTGTGACCGTGGAATAAAATGACAGTTGCCAGTTGACTCCCAGACTATGTGTCGTCTAGTCCTTGGGGAAGAGGGATTATTATTACGCTGCCTGTGTTTTACCTGCTTTATCCTGAATACCAGCGGAGATACCGTGGATTATACTGCTACTCCGCTACACCCTCTGTGCCAGTCACCCAGATCCTTCCATCTCTGTACCAGTCATCCCCAATCCTTCCATCCTTCTGTACCAGTCACCTAGATCCTACCGTCTCTGTGCCAGTCCATCTCTGTGCCAGTCACCTATATCCAACCACCTCTGTGCCAGTCACCCTGATCCAACCACCTCTGTGCCAGTAACCCAGATCCTTCCATCCTTCTGTACCAGTCACCCTGATCCTTCCATCTTTCTGTGCCAGTCACCCCGATGCTTCCATCCCTCTGTGCCAGTCACCCCGATCCTTCCATCTCTCTGTGCCAGTCACCCCGATCCTTCCATCTGTGTACCAGTCACTCAGATTCTTCCATCCCTCTGTGCCAGTCACCCCGATCCTTCCATCCCTTTGTGCCAGTCACCCCAATCCTTCCATCTCTCTGTGCCAGTCACCCCGATCCTTCCATCTTTCTGTGCCAGTCACCCCGATGCTTCCATCCCTCTGTGCCAGTCACCCCGATCCTTCCATCCCTCTGTGCCAGTCACCCCGATCCTTCCATCTTTGTGCCAGTCACTCAGATTCTTCCATCCCTCTGTGCCAGTCACCCCGATTCTGCCATCTCTGTGCCAGTCACCCCGATCCTTCCATCCCTCTGTGCCAGTCTGACATTATTTCCTCTCCCTTCAGCTATATATCTGTGCTGAGGTTGGTTGGCATTGCCTATTTTTTTTACATTTTTGTTACTGCTGGTTACATCACAATCAGAAAGGATTTTTTCTATGAATGTTTCATCATCTCCTCTATATCCCATTTAAATATTACATTAAAATTTAGATTTTATTGGAGATCTACGAGCAGCCAGTTCTGGATTTATTGGTTGATGGTTTTAAAGCTGAACCATTTGATGAGCCTAGCGAGAGACGATGAATTTTCATTATCTCGGTTGTTATGGAGTGTTTGACACATAGCAGACATCCTGCTGACCCCTGGATTCTCCCTGTGTGTGATTGTGATGTCACACATCTGGTCATGAACCTGCGCACATTACGGGCTGGGAAGCCATGAATAAAATTATAGTTTAATACATAATAATTGGAGCATCACAGTAGCGGCAGCGGTCCGTTTATTGTATAATAAATAAATAAAAACTCTTACCATTTATATTTGAGCCTTTTTTTAAAAGGGGCTGCTGCTCCAATAGCCCCTATGTTAACTGGTTCTGCAAGCAATCATGCCAAATTTCAGCTTCCTACCTTACAGAAAATTAATTGAGTGAGTGAAGGCTTGGCGTATATATGTGTGCGCATGCATAAGTATTTTATAATATAGAGGGAGAGAGAGAAAGAGGGAAGTTTAGTTCGAAGAAAGTGGTGTAAACACACAGTAGGCTACATTAAGTTAAAGTGACTTTATATATGTAAGCAGGCATGGGTCTGACCTAAGCTGTTACACGGGCTATTTAAAGGCCAAGGCCTCTCTTTGTTTGTATGTCAAGTGTAACAGCATAATTTCAAACCGGGAGGAAGGAAATGGCTGTGCCGGCTGATTGCAATTCATGGCTGGACGTTCCTCTCGGAATCAGCTAGAGCAATACAATGTCTTAATTAAAAACCTTAACTCGCTAACGATTCCTCACTTTTCTGTCTGTGCCATGTACGTCTCGCATTAGGCACCAATCACAGCGGGACGTGTAACTTGACCGAGAAAAATGTAAAACAAACGGATTATGTCTCTTCTTATTCAAAGGATAATCGCGCTGCCATGTGGAATTAAAGAAATACAGTGTAACCCCTTGCAGACTGGCAGGAAAACTATGTTAACAGACAGAAATACTGCCGACTATGTTACACGGCTCCGTATCTGCAAACAAATCCATCCAATGGGTAAACACTACCATTTACTGTCAGGTCTGTTAGAGGAGAATATATTTTCAGGATATTTGAGGTCATTGCTGGATGGTTTTTTTAATTTTTTTTATTTTTTTTTATAGAAATATAGTTAGAACTTAGGTTATCCCATCACAAGGCAGCCCAGTCTCTACATTGCACATATTGTATAGTTTTTCAATGTATTTAGCAGCGAGCAGTGTTTGTGTGTTTGAATGTAAGCATGTTTTTGAATGGAGTATGTGTGAGTGAATGGACGGGTATGTTTGCACGTATTGGCATTTGAATGCAGGCTTGCATTTTTCTGTAGTGTGATTTTTTTTTAATATGGTGGTGTGTTTTTATGTAGTGTTGACATTTGGATGCAGGGTTGTATTTGTGTGTAGTGTAGTCGAAATGCTGAGATGTATTCACATATACTCACATATACACACATACACAGACACATAGGTACACGCATGCAGTTACATAGAAACACATTCATACACACATACAGGCAAACACTGACACATACAGACACACAGATATAAGAGGAAGGGGATCGATGGTGAGAGGGAGGGGGGTGATGGTTTGAGGGAGGGGGGAGTATTACTTTGCATTCAATTTGGGCAATTTCTTTTTCTAAATATCTATGGTCCATGCCATTAAAAATACATAGCAACAGGAGGAAAACCCAATGACATCTTTAAACATATTCCGAAGGCTTGAATTTAACATCCAAAGTGTGAGTGGCCAATTGTATCTAACACCACTTTCTTTAATAACACATTTAAGCACAGTGTTGTGCCTTTCTTTGTATTTCCCTATCCCTATATATATATATTGGTATTTGAAGATTGAGGGAGTCTTTGAGGTTGCTATTACTATAAAAGAAAAGTCTTATTTATGAAAATATTTTTTTATATATATCCATTTCTAATAGGATTGTGATTGTCAATTTGTATCTCTGATTCTTGGAGCTTGCAATCTGGTTCATGGAAACAATAAGGCTGTTTGGCTGTAGATGGTTTGTAGGTAGAAAAGCAGTGGTTCATTTATGGGGAGTTGAGTTTCCAATTAATCGTAGGACAGGAAGATATTGTTAACCTCGACTCCAATATGAAGCATGATCCTGGGTGTCTGACAACATTAACACCACTAGGGGTCTGGATCGAGGTGTCATTTCCAATCAGAGCTCTGTCTTTGGACCATCAGCATTGTTTAGCCAACGCCAGCGCGTCAGAGCACTTTATTCACTAAATTTCATACTGTAGCAAATTATAACTCGAATGGCAACATTTGGGCTAAAATAACCAAGTCGTAAATACAGCTGACCTCGAGAATGTTTCCAGACTCAGACTCTCAGTAATCATATAAAGCATTACCACGGCACTCTCAATAACTCTGTTTCCTGTTAATTCCTGATTGCAGATCTCTGCACATTGTCTGTTCTGGGCAATTGTTTTTTTTCCATTGTGTAACTGTTACCATGATTTATTTTCATTCCTGGTCACTGTGACCCTATTTTCTGCTCACTGTCTGTCATGGTGACCCTGGTTTTTGGACAATCTTTTACTTCTAACCATGCTCCCATATTATTTTGGCCCAGGTAGCACGCTGAACCTGCTTCCCATGGCTGATAATTGTATGCATGATTAATATTGTGTAGAATATGTTGCTATTCTGAATACCTCTCAATTTGGCTGAAGGATCAAAAGTTTTATTGGAACTATGAACCCGGTCATGCAATCTGGACATTAGAGCATGCCTTGTGATGACTGTAGTTTTGGAGAAATCATCTCATGTGATGTTAATATGAAATAATACCGCTGTCTGACACACTCTGGGGCTTCCAATTAACTTGAGGAGTCTAAATGAAGGATATTACTGGGCAAGTTAAAGATTCCGAATATTCCTTATCCCAGAATAAGAACATAAGATCTGATTGTTTTAGAAATGCTCAGAAACTAAAGTATAATGAATCTTTGAGAAGCGGCACTGTACCCGACTCACTGGCACGCACCAATAACCTTCCTATACTCTCCGGCTCAGGCGATCTACAGAAATGTTTTAGTTAATTTCCACCTTCTGACATGCTGACAGCAATGTGTGCGGGAGACGCAGTTCTAACATGTCACATCTTGTGTCTTCATTATTATTATTTATAAAGAATCAATGTATTCTGCAACCCTGTATAATTTATTCCACTGTATCCACCACCAGTCTGAATCAAACTGTGGCCTTAAAGATGTTGTTAAACTACAATTCCCAAAATTCCCTGCAAACCTGTAGCTCTCAAGGAATAACGTGGAGACAGGGGCGCAAAGTTCTATATTCTGTCCTGTTGTAGGGTTTAACATTTGTCTACAATCCCCTATTTAGTGTAGAAATTCCCATTTGTGTACCTTTGGGTTCCTCTATGTTCATCATATTCCAAAATCGGTATTAACGTTTAACGCTCAGCCATCACCTTTAGGCTATCAGAGGGGTGTGCGCTGCTCAGCCCCTTAAATGAGACATCTGATTATACTCCCCCAAAACGACCACAGCAGAGAATGCTTTGGTATGCAATGGCCAATCATAGTTACATGGCAATGCTGTCCATCCATCATTTACCAATCACTGTCTTTATTTACAGGTGACCTGGTCAAGATCCATGTGCAAATAAATTGTCTGGAGGAGAAATGTGCCGGGACAATTGCAGTAGATGAGCCATGTGCACAAGTAAGTCACGGTATGTACCATCTATAAGGTGAATTACCGTGTTTTGCATTGGGAGTCCAGAGGAATACGTAGATAGGTATTTATTAAGGCAAGTCATTTGCTGCTCATATACGGCATCTTAAATATCTTCATATAATGTGGATTGTAAAATGTATCATATCCCGTTAGCGTAAAGTCAACGCGTTCTGCAAACCTAGACGCGGTATCCAAATAATTACAGGGCAGAAAATAACACAACCCTATTGAAAACAGATGGGAAATTCTGGTACATTTTCTTGAATACCATGGTGATTGCGCCACTTAAAGAATTTCCCCCCTCTTTTGTGTTAGCGACCTTTTTCTAAGTGGAATAATCCCCATTGGTTTCCGTGGCAACTGCAACATTTAAAAAATATATATATTTATGCACTCTTTTGCATACGCAAAAAGTCTCTCGCCAAACTGTCAGAAAAGGGTGGCAATGTACAATGAATCTTTGAAAAATGCATCGCTGTATTGTTGTGTTTCTGATGCTATGATTGTGAGATAAACGAAGCAGACTATCGCCAACATTGACCTGCGCATTGCGCCCGCCTTCCCCTGCCCCCCTGTTCTACAGACATTTATTTTAATGTGATGATACATCCTGAACTGTGGGATTTTCCATGGTTTCTGTTTATGAAAAGGTTATCTCTTAGGCTACAAGTGAGGAATAAACTGTCGTTGAAAGAGTTGGTATCGGAGGAACATGAGATGATAGGTAGTTTGTCTTGACATTCAGAGAAGCTGAGAAATTCTCGTAGAGCGATCCTTGCTCTGACTTCACATTTTCAGTCTGCGTTGCCAATCTCAGGATTCCTATCCTGTCCCTTATCTTGTCTTCATAGTGAATGCAGTGAAGCTTATCCACTAAACCCTGAATTGGAGCTGATGGAGATTTGACAGGAGAAATGTGACTGTATCTGAATTTGCCATTCCAGACCTGCCTCCCTTATGTTGGCACAATTGGAAATCCATCGAATCAGCTACAGATACAGGCATGTGAGGGTGGACATTGAACTTAGCTGAACTACATATAATATGCTATGCAGAGCTAGATTAAGGTTTCCCAGAGTGGGTGGGTGAGCTGGATTCCTGGTGGTCCAGTGTAGTGTGAGCTGGATTCCTGGTGGCCCAGTGCAGTGTGAGCTGGATTCCTGGTGGTCCAGTGCAGTGTGAGCTGGATTCCTGGTGGCCCAGTGCAGTGTGAGTTGGATTCCTGGTGGCCCAGTGCAGTGTGAGCTGGATTCCTGGTGGTCCAGTGCAGTGTGAGCTGGATTCCTGGTGGCCCAGTGCTGGATTCCTGGTGGCCCAGTGCAGTGTGAGTTGGATTCCTGGTGGCCCAGTGCAGTGTGAGCTGGATTCCTGGTGGCCCAGTGCAGTGTGAGCTGGATTCCTGGTGGCCCAGTGCAGTGTGAGCTGGATTCCTGGTGGTCCAGTGCAGTGTGAGCTGGATTCCTGGTGGCCCAGTGCAGTGTGAGTTGGATTCCTGGTGGCCCAGTGCAGTGTGAGTTGGATTCCTGGTGACCCAGTGCAGTGTGAGTTGGATTCCTGGTGGCCCAGTGCAGTGTGAGCTGGATTCCTGGTGGCCCAGTGCAGTGTGAGCTGGATTCCTGGTGGTCCAGTGCAGTGTGAGCTGGATTCCTGGTGGCCCAGTGCAGTGTGAGTTGGATTCCTGGTGGCCCAGTGCAGTGTGAGCTGGATTCCTGGTGGCCCAGTGCAGTGTGAGCTGGATTCCTGGTGGCCCAGTGCAGTGTGAGCTGGATTCCTGGTGGCCCAGTGCAGTGTGAGCTGGGTTCCTGGTGGCCCAGTGCAGTGTGAGTTGGATTCCTGGTGACCCAGTGCAGTGTGAGTTGGATTCCTGGTGGCCCAGTGCAGTGTGAGCTGGATTCCTGGTGGCCCAGTGCAGCGTGAGCTGGGTTCCTGGTGGTCCAGTGCAGTGTGAGCTGGGTTCCTGGTGGCCTAGTGCAGTATGAGCTGGTGGTCCAGTGAGGGAGCTCCATCATCTCTACTAATATCAGGAACAGGTCACTTTAAGAGCGAGGGCACTCCTGGAGAGCTTTGTACCTGATATTGGTAGAGATCATAACGCAGAGCAGAGTGAGGAGGACCAGGGCTGTGTCTCCTAATGGGTAACCAGTTCTGCCGCTCTGTTTTTAGTTTGGCTACTTTGGCCTGAAATGTTACATTCACTTTGAATTCCTGTCATTTCACACTGTATTGAATAAGATTTTCCCTGAGATTAATGTAATCAGAGAGATTGTGAATTAGCATGAACCCTCACTAACAGGCGTGTGATTAAACGTTGCTTCCAGCTGTCCCCCATTCCACAGACACGGACACTGATTGCCCTCAACGTGACATTAACCGCTCGCTGAGATCACACATCCAACCCAAAACACTTTACTAGAAACAGGTCAGAGATCTGACGTTCCCTCAAACTCATTCAAAATGAATGTTCTTTCATCACAAACTTTCTCAATCTATCCCCATCGCTGACACAACCACCGGCAGAACCCTGTGGGACAATCTCACATTGCTTTTTATGTCGGACAAATTTCTATGAATAATTATATCATACTTTATCACCACTGCAGGTTACCTTCCATCTAATACTCTCATGGGACAGATACCCTTCCATTATCTCTCAGCAAACACCTAAAATCTAAGTATACTTATATAGAATGTTCCTCGTTGTAGTTAGACTTCTTCATTTGCTATCAATGTATATGCAGCCATATGTGTTCATTCAAGGGACCGAGACAGGTGGGAGAAAGCTCATTGGGGTGGACACACAGGGGAGAAATAACATGGGGGGGTGACACAGGGGAGAAATAACATGGGGGGAGACACAGGGGAGAAATAACATGAGGGGGAGACACAGGGGAGAAATAACATGGGGGGGAGACACAGGGGAGAAATAACATGGGGGGGGAGACACAGGGGAACAAGAACATTCGGGAGGAGACACATGGGAGCAAGAACATTCGGGAGGAGACACATGGGAGCAAGAACATTCGGGAGGAGACACATGGGAGCAAGAACATTCGGGGGAGACACATGGGAGCAAGAACATTCGGGGGAGACACATGGGAGCAAGAACATTCGGGGGAGACACAGGGAAGAAAGAATATAGAATGGAAGACCTATACTGAAGAGATATACTAAGGGAAATACAAGGGAGAAATGCTGGAAAAGACAAGAGAGAAAATGGGGAAATTAAAATAATTGGAGAAATAAGAATGATTGAAATACACGTCGTGACCACTTCATCTCAGGAGATGATGTATTTACCACTTCTCTGGAAATTAGAACACTAAATAAAAAATTAAAATCACTATAAGTTGTTATTGCTTCATGTGAGGCTCTATTTTCGTTGATATTTATAAGAGAGATTTTAGCAAATGTCTTTAAAATACCGCTCAGTCCTGGCAAGCTAAGATGGAGTTGCCCAGATGCGGGATAAAACGATGTGGATTTTTACAGTGAATTTTATTTTTCACACCTTACAAATTCATATTTGTGTCAGATCGCTAAACATAATTTGATTAAGCCGGAAGAGACAGCTCCCCTTTAATAGGCGTTAGATTTCAGGATAGTAGTGACTTATACAGAAATAAACCATTTTCTAGTCAGTTGATAAAGCTTCTCAGTTCTGGAATATTTTTACCTCCGTCTCAGATATTTGTGCTTGTATGAGTGGTACTGTATATTTCTTCTTACTGAGCAGGCCATTTGTATGGTAATTCATCAGAATAGCTGCTCGTCTCCCGTGCTCCTCTGGCAAGCGGGCCTCGGGGGCCCAGGACTTCCACAGCTGGTTTTCAGAATTTTATTAAGAAGCTGCAGGTGGATTTGTCAAACACATTAATCCATGTTCACTCATGCTGGGTAATCCAGGAAATCTGTACAGGTGGCAAGCCCTGAGGACCTGTACATACAGGGAGTGCAGAATTATTAGGCAAGTTGTATTTTTGAGGATTAATTTTATTATTGAACAACAACCATGTTCTCAATGAACCCAAAAAACTCATTAATATCAAAGCTGAATATTTTTGGAAGTAGTTTTTAGTTTGTTTTTAGTTTTAGCTATGTTAGGGGGATATCTGTGTGTGCAGGTGACTATTACTGTGCATAATTATTAGGCAACTTAACAAAAAACAAATATATACCCATTTCAATTATTTATTATTACCAGTGAAACCAATATAACATCTCAACATTCACAAATATACATTTCTGACATTCAAAAACAAAACAAAAACAAATCAGTTACCAATATAGCCACCTTTCTTTGCAAGGACACTCAAAAGCCTGCCATCCATGGATTCTGTCAGTGTTTTGATCTGTTCACCATCAACATTGCGTGCAGCAGCAACCACAGCCTCCCAGACACTGTTCAGAGAGGTGTACTGTTTTCCCTCCTTGTAAATCTCACATTTGATGATGGACCACAGGTTCTCAATGGGGTTCAGATCAGGTGAACAAGGAGGCCATGTCATTAGATTTTCTTCTTTTATACCCTTTCTTGCCAGCCACGCTGTGGAGTACTTGGACGCGTGTGATGGAGCATTGTCCTGCATGAAAATCATGTTTTTCTTGAAGGATGCAGACTTCTTCCTGTACCACTGCTTGAAGAAGGTGTCTTCCAGGAACTGGCAGTAGGACTGGGAGTTGAGCTTGACTCCATCCTCAACCCGAAAAGGCCACACAAGCTCATCTTTGATGATACCAGCCCAAACCAGTACTCCACCTCCACCTTGCTGGCGTCTGAGTCGGACTGGAGCTCTCTACCCTTTACCAATCCAGCCACGGGCCCATCCATCTGGCCCATCAAGACTCACTCTCATTTCATCAGTTCATAAAACCTTAGAAAAATCAGTCTTGAGATATTTCTTGGCCCAGTCTTGACGTTTCAGCTTGTGTGTCTTGTTCAGTGGTGGTCGTCTTTCAGCCTTTCTTACCTTGGCCATGTCTCTGAGTATTGCACACCTTGTGCTTTTGGGCACTCCAGTGATGTTGCAGCTCTGAAATATGGCCAAACTGGTGGCAAGTGGCATCGTGGCAGCTGCACGCTTGACTTTTCTCAGTTCATGGGCAGTTATTTTGCGCCTTGGTTTTTCCACACGCTTCTTGCGACCCTGTTGACTATTTTGAATGAAACGCTTGATTGTTCGATGATCACGCTTCAGAAGCTTTGCAATTTTAAGAGTGCTGCATCCCTCTGCAAGATATCTCACTATTTTTGACTTTTCTGAGCCTGTCAAGTCCTTCTTTTGACCCATTTTGCCAAAGGAAAGGAAGTTGCCTAATAATTATGCACACCTGATATAGGGTGTTGATGTCATTAGACCACACCCCTTCTCATTACAGAGATGCACATCACCTAATATGCTTAATTGGTAGTAGGCTTTCGAGCCTATACAGCTTGGAGTAAGACAACATGCATAAAGAGGATGATGTGGTCAAAATACTCATTTGCCTAATAATTCTGCACTCCCTGTATGGGATGCTTGTGGACCTGTATTCTGGGGGAACCTGGAAAACGCACAGGTGGGGATGTCGGTGGATGATTGGACCTGCTCCAGTGGGGAACTGGACAAGTGGTCAGTGGACCTGCACAGGTGGGGAGATCAATGGACCTGCACAGGTGGGGGAAGTCAATGGAACTGCTCCAGTAGGAACCTGCACACGTGGGGATGACGGTGGACCTGCTTTAGTGGGGAACTGCACAGGTGGATAGGTATTGGAACATGTAGATTGTAAGATCACGGGCTTAAATGGCTAGATCTCGGCTTACGGGCAGGGCCCTCTCTAGTTTTTGTATTTGTCTGTGTATATTGTATGTTCTCCACTAATTGTACAGCGCTGCAGAATCTGTTGGCGCTTTATAAATACCAGTAATATATAATGTACCCTTTTAGTTGTCCTATTGCGATATTCAGAACGCATATAAAAAGTACATTTGTTGTGCAACAGCTGAATGAGGTGCTTGTATACAGATGGCAGTACTGATGGGGTGTACAAAGAATGCCACAATTGTGATGCGTAGTATTTATTTAGCAGGAGATTGGCGCAGATAAATAAGATAGGTGGTAGTAGATGGTTAAATACTGTGTGTTTGTCTCTCCCCTCCTATCCAGCCCCCCACACTGCGCAGTTTGAGTGAAATTATATTTATCTATAACTTGTATTTACTGTGTAATGCGGATTAGGAGAGATAATATCTTGTATAATCCCCCAGAGAGTTCCACTTTTTAACTCCAAAATACCTATTCTCTACCAGGCTAAGCTGACCCTCATTTATTGTACAGATAATACATTGTTCCTTTACAAACTGCTGGGACACAGGGTCAGGGGACTTCTTCATCCGACAACCTTCATGAAGACCATTGGGTGTTGGATGCTTAGAGCGTCCCTTTCAGCATCACTTGTAGTAAATAACAAAAATAGTTTCAAAGTCTCCCCAGTCCAGCCCTCCTGTGGATGCTCAGCAGGTTCGAAGCCAGTTTGATTCTTGTTCTGTGTTTATTCTTCAAATACCCCACAGCTCCTGTAAGTGAGGTTTAGCCATTGTGTCTAGATTTATACTGTCTCGTTCTGCAGCATCCTGCTAATACATCCAATTCCTGTCTGATCGCATAGGTATCGATCCACAGCAAGCTTTTACGTAATTCAAGGCCAAATGGTTGTTTGGCCAGAATGGCTGTGGGTGACAGCTTGCCGGGGAAATGGATGGACTTCTCAAGGTTCCACGTCCCGTACTTTGGTGTGGGTCCAAAATATTTGGAGGACACGTAAAACAGAGTGAATGAAATCGTTAGAGAAGCTGTGCCCAGACTGCAGTGCCCGAGCTTTATATAAAATCAGCGTTGGAAAGGCAAATGTCTGAAAAGCTTTGATTTAGACCATACATTTTAGATGACTCGATTTATATTGATCAGTTCCCAGATCGGTGGGATTTACGTTCTCGCACTGTACAGATAGCTACACTACCCAAGTGTCCCTGTTTAGGTTGGATAGTCCTATATTGTTATTCACTAAAGGGTCCTTGTAGTCCGGCTATGTAGTATATTTTTGTATATTTATAATCCTAGTCGGATGTACAGAAATTCCACCTAGCAAAACAAATGTATGTATTTGTGTGTACTACTTTAGCACAGCTTGTACACCCTATATATTACAACACTGTCTGCATACACACTTTGTAATACTGTCTGTATATATTGACAGCAGTATTACAATCAGTACACACAATTTATTATAGTCTGTACACACCATGTACTATATTCTGTATACACTGACAGCACATTGCATGTACCGGTCCATACATCAATAGCACTGCATACTCTCTGACAGCTGTGGACAGTATATCTTAATCTGGGTGCACTCACAGCATGTACCAGACAGTCTGTACACAATGACAACATGGCACAGCAAGTATCAGAGACTGGTATGCAAAATATAACACCACATGCTGTGTATTAGACAAGCTGTATACAATGACATCAGCCTGTATACAATAATAGCAGCACACAGCTTATATCAAACTTTGTGTACTCTTATAGAACAACCTGTACACACTAACACAGCCCACAGCAGGTATCAAACATTATGTACCCTTATAGATCAACCTGCACAAACTGCTATCAGCAAACAGTTTGTATCACACTATGTGTACACTCACAGTATGTATTGTCTACATACAGAAAGCAGTACACGTCACGCCAAGACCCAGAATGTGCATATATACACCTATAATATATATAGTATCTTGTACATTGACAACAGTACAATCCATGTATTGTGTACAGTATGTATCCTAAAACACATCCCACACACACTAGCAGAAATACAATCATGTATCTGACATTGTGTATACGCTATAGTACATCCCATGTATCTGACATTGTGTATACCCTATAGTACATCCCATGTATCTGACATTGTGTATACCCTATATACCATGTATCTGACATTGTGTATACCCTACATCCCATGTATCTGACATTGTGTATACCCTACAGTACATCCCATGTATCTGACATTGTGTATACCCTATAGTACATCCCATGTATCTGACATTGTGTATACCCTACAGTACATCCCATGTATCTGACATTGTGTATACCCTATATCCCATGTATCTGACATTGTGTATACCCTACAGTACATCCCATGTATCTGACATTGTGTATACCCTATAGTACATCCCATGTATCTGACATTGTGTATACCCTACAGTACATCCCATGTATCTGACATTGTGTATACCCTATAGTACATCCCATTTATCAGACACTGCATACTGTCTCCATAGTACACACTGTATACACTCTATATAGTGAACCCCCGACACTGTACACACTCTATATAGTACAGCCCATGCATCACACGCATACATTCTATATAGTACACCCCATGTATCACACACTGTATACTATATATGGTACACCCCATATATTACACACTTTGCACTCTATATAGTACACCCCACGTATCACACACTTTGCACTCTTTATAGTGCACCTCATATACACTCTATACAGAACACACTATATACACTCTATACAGTACACCCCATATATATACTCTATATAGTACACTGTAAACACTCGATATAGTACACCCCATATACACTCTATATAGTACACCCCACATACACTCTATACAGTACACCCCATATATATATACTCTATATAGTACACTGTAAACACTCGATATAGTACACCCCATGTATCACACACTTTGCACTCTATATAGTACACCCCATATACACTCTATACAGTACACCCCATATATATATACTCTATATAGTACACCCCATGTATCACACACTTTGCACTATATACACTCTATATAGTACACCCCATATACACACTATATATAGTACATCCCATATAGTACACACTGTATACAATCCATATAGTAGTACACCCCATGTACATGCACAGCTTACCTCTGTAACGTGGAGAAGGCTGATCTCCCGGATAATGTTCTGTACGAACTTCCCTGCTTTACCTCCTGACAGAAACCTGCTTCCCCAGAGCAACAATCTGCACCAGCGCATGGGGGGCTGTGCTGGAGCTGGGGGGCTCCAGAGAGGGCTGCTTGCAGACAGCCAGCGGTGGCATGAGAATGGGCTGTGTTAGTGGCAGTGTGTGCATCCCCAGCTCATTGTATACAGCTCCTCCTCCTGGAATGGGGGTCTGGGGGGAGAGGGGGGACACTGCCTGCAGGGGGCTGGATAGGGAGAGCTGGGAGGGGTACACTGCTGGCAGGGGGCTGGATAGGGAGAGCTGGGAGGGGTACACTGCTGGCAGGGATTGAGTAGGGAGGCTTTGGGGGTGGATGGGGGACACACACTGCCTGCAGGGACTGAGTAGGGGGGCTTTGGGGCTATCTCCTAGCTGTATAGATCACTGTATCCCACCCACTGCCCCCAGACCTTTAACTTATATAGAGCTACAATGTATCTTTCTATAGTGCTACAGTGTATCCCAATGCCAGATCAGACACCCCCAAACCACAGCTGTGTACCCCCCAATATTATGTCAAACTAATCTGTTTTTATAGCTAGGTTAACATGAGCTAAACTGTAATCTGCCAACATATTCCGTATCGTTGTACAATGAGTACACACACAGTATAACAGCTTCAGACAGGGAGCTCGCAATCTGTCCTGTAATTCTACATCGGATAGTGAATCTCTCCATTTTCATAAAACTGAGCCACGCACTAAAAAACTAATCAGGATCAAACAATGTCTGGTGAAGGTTCAGCACCTGGACAGCTCCACAATGTGCTAAACCCCTGCTTCCATTTACTGTGTGTAATACTCACTAACCGGGCCCTGCCCAGCTCTACTGCCCTAACCTGGCACTGCCCAGCCCTACTGACCTAACCTGGCACTGCCCAGCCCTACTGCCCTAACCTGGCACTTCCCAGCCCTACTGACCTAACCTGGCACTGCCCAGCCCTACTGACCTAACCTGGCACAGCCCAGCTCTATTGACCTGATCTGGCAAAGCCCAGCCCCATTGACCTAACCTGGCACTGCCCAGCTCTACTGCCCTAACCTTGCACTGCCCAGCTCTACTGCCCTAACCTGGCACAGCCCAGTTCTACTGCCCTAACCTGGCACTGCCCAGCTCTACTGACCTAACCTGGCACAGCCCAGTTCTACTGCCCTAACCTGGCACTGCCCAGCCCTACTGACCTAACCTGGCACTGCCCAGCCCTACTGACTTAACAAGGCACTGCCAGCCCTACTGACCTAACCTGGCACTGCCCAGCCCTACTGACCTAACCTGGCACAGCCCAGCTCTTCTGCCCTAACCTGGCACTGCCCAGCCCTACTGCCCTAACCTGGCACTGCCCAGCCCTACTGACCTAACCTGGCACTGCCCAGCCCTACTGCCCTAACCTGGCACTTCCCAGCCCTACTGACCTAACCTGGCACTGCCCAGCCCTACTGACCTAACCTGGCACAGCCCAGCTCTATTGACCTGATCTGGCAAAGCCCAGCCCCATTGACCTAACCTGGCACTGCCCAGCTCTACTGCCCTAACCTTGCACTGCCCAGCTCTACTGCCCTAACCTGGCACAGCCCAGTTCTACTGCCCTAACCTGGCACTGCCCAGCTCTACTGACCTAACCTGGCACAGCCCAGTTCTACTGCCCTAACCTGGCACTGCCCAGCCCTACTGACCTAACCTGGCAATGCCCACCTCTACTGCCCTAATCTTGCACTGCCCAACCCCACTGGCCTAACCTGGCACTGCCCAGCTCTACTGCCCTAACCTGGCACAGCCATTTCTACTGACCTAACCTTGCACTGCCCAGCCCTACTGAGATAACCTGGCACTGCCAGCTCTACTGACCTAACCTTGCACTGCCCAGCTCTACTGACCTAACCTTGCACTGCCCAGCTCTACTGACCTAACCTGACACTGTCCAGCTCTACTGACCTAACCTGGCACTGCCCAGCACTACTGACCTAACCTGGCACAGCCCAGCTCTATTGACCTGATCTGGCAAAGCCCAGCCCCATTGACCTAACATGACACTGTCCAGCTCTACTGACCTAACCTGGCACTGCCCAGCACTACTGACCTAACCTGGCACAGCCCAGCTCTATTGACCTGATCTGGCAAAGCCCAGCCCCATTGACCTAACCTGGCACTGCCCAGCTCTACTGCCCTAACCTGGCACAGCCATTTCTACTGACCTAACCTTGCACTGCCCAGCCCTACTGAGATAACCTGGCACTGCCAGCTCTACTGACCTAACCTTGCACTGCCCAGTTTGGCTGACTAACTCTGCACTGCCTCCAGCTTACTGACCTACTTGGCACTGCCTGTGCCTTGTTGACCCTGGTACTGCCCAGCCTTCGACTTAACAAGGCACTGCCGCAGCCTTGGCTGACTCTGGACCAGTACTCGTCCAGCTCTACTGCTCACCTGGCACTGCTCAGTTTCTACTGGGATTTAACACCTGGCACTGCCAGCTCTTACTGACCTAACCTGGCACTGCCCAGTTTACTGGATTCTTAAGGCACTGCCAGCCCTACTGACCTAACCTGGCACTGCCCAGCCCTACTAACCTAAACTGGCACTGCCCAGCCCTTCTGACCTAACCTGGCACTGCCCAGCTCTTCTGACCTAACCTGGCACTGCCCAGCCCTACTGACCTAACCTGGCACTGCCCAGCCCTACTGACCTAACCGAGCACTGTCCAGCTCTACTGCCCTAACCTGGCACTGCCCAGCCCTACTGACCTAACCTGGCACTGCCCAGCTCTACTGACCTGATCGGGCACAGCCCAGCCCCACTGACCTGATCTGGCACAGCCTAGCCCCACTGACCTAACCTGGCACTGGCCAGCCCTACTGACCTAACCTGGCACAGCCAGCCCTTCTGACCTAACCTGGCACAACCCAGCCCTAGTGCCCTAACCTGGCACTGTCCAGCTCTACTGCCCTAACCTGGCACTGCCAGCTCTACTTCCCCAACCTGGCACTGCCCAGCCTTACTGACCTAACCTGGCACTGCCCAGCCCTACTGACCTAACTTGGCACTGCCCAGCCCTACTGACCTAACCTGGCACTGCCCATCTCTACTGACAACCTGGCACAGCCCAGCTCTATTGACCTGAACTGGCACAGCCCAGCCCTACTGACCTAACCTGGCACTGCCCAGCCCTACTGACCTGATCTGGCACAGCCTAGCCCCACTGACCTAACCTGGCATTGGCCAGCCCTACTGACCTAACCTGGCACAGCCAACCCTTCTGACCTAACCTGGCACAACCCAGCCCAAGTGCCCTAACCTGGCACTGTCCAGCTCTACTTCCCTAACCTGGCGCTGCCCAGCCCTACTGACCTAACCTGGCGCTGCCCAGCCCTACTGACCTAACCTGGCACAGCCCAGCTCTACTGCCCTAACCTGGCACAGCCTAGCCCCACTGACCTAACCTGGCACTGGCCAGCCCTACTGACCTAACCTGGCACAGCCAGCCCTTCTGACCTAACCTGGCACAACCCAGCCCTAGTGCCCTAACCTGGCACTGCCCAGCTCTTCTGACCTAACCTGGCACTGCCCAGCCCTACTGACCTAACCTGGCACTGCCCAGCCCTACTGACCTAACCTAGCACTGCCCAGCTCTACTGCCCTAACCTGGCACTGCCCAGCCCTACTGACCTAACCTGGCACTGCCCAGCTCTACTGACCTAATCTGCACTGCCCAGTTTCTGCCGGACCTGCCTGGCACTGCCCAGCTCACTGGACCTAACCTGGCACTACCCAGCCCATCTGACCTAATCTGCACTGACCATCCCTATAACTCAACCTGGCACTGCTCCAGCCTCTACTGACCTGCAACCTGGCACTGCCCTCCATTACAGAACTTACCTAACTAGGCACTGCCCAGCTCCCGGACCTAACTGGCACTGCCCAGCTCTCCTGACCAAACCGGGCACTGCCCAGCTCTACTGACCTAACCTGGCACTGCCCAGCCCATCTGACCTAATCTGGCACCTGACCAGCTGGCACTGCCCAGCTCTACTGACCTAACCTGGCACTGCCCAGCTCTCCTGACCTAACCTGGCACTGCCCAGCTCTCCTGACCTAACCTGGCACTGCCTATCTCTGTTGACCTAACCTGGCACTGTCCAGCCCTACTGACCTAACCTGGCACTGCCCATTTCTACTGACCTAACTTGGCACTGCCCAGCTCTACTGCCCTAACCTGGCCCTGCCCAACTCTACAGCACTTGCCTAGCCTGGCACGGCACTGCTCAGCTCTACAGCACTACCCAGCTCTACTGACCTAACCTGGTACTGCCCTGACGTACAGCACTTACATAACCTGGCATTGCCCTGCTCTATAGCATTTACCTAACTTGGCACTGACCTGCTCTAGAACATTTAGTGTACTTATGAAGGTCCTCTCTAGAACAATCATTGTAAATGTGATGTCACTGCTGTTAAACAGTTGTTTTGCCTGCGATAATACAGCCACTGTACCTGGGATTGTCCTGCTCTACAGAACTTATTGAAGCACAAATTTATCACTCAAAATACCCCCATATTATTCACACATCTGCTCCCCAGCCCTTATTACCCAATATATTCCTGGATAATCTGCTCCCCAGTCCTTAATACCCAATATATATTCTCCTCCTCTTTATTTCCTCAGTCTCACTCAGTATAAAAATCACTCCTTACACCCACTTCACTCATACCCCCATCCACATTTACATATGCCCTTCTCTGATCTCATGCTTTACACTAATTTTTCTACTCTCTCACTCCAACCCACAATCGATCTCATCCTAGACCCCATGCATACAAAACCCATTCACAACTCCTGTCACTTTCTCTCCTCCTACTTCTAGCAGCTGGTGATGTATCTCCCAATCCAGGGCCCTTCACCTTCTCTACACACACTAAGACAACAAGAAACCCCACAAACCTCATCACAATACGCTGCCCTTTACCCTCACCAAAATTCAGTGTGCACTCTGGAATGCCCGCTCCATCCGCAGTAATTTAAAATCAACAAATTACACTCTTGATTTTGCCTTCACCAACCTCTGTACTGCCTCTAATCTCTCCAATATTCCTTTTCCTCTATCTGACCACCATCTGCTGACTTTTGACATTGGCATACCTAAGACCCAATTGACACCACCGTCTGAACTTCA